GGGGGGGGGGGGGGGGGTGAATTTAACCATATAAAGAACACAGATCGACAGACTCACTACATTTGACTTCACCAATTCTCAGCATGGCCAATATAGGTGGTATAACTGGAACTACTCTTGAGAGGTAGTTCTTGAACGAGCTATGAATGTCCATGCAAAGGATAAAGCCAAACATCATTCTAAATATGGTTGTAGATTGAGGGATATTATCAACAGCTCTCTCCACATTATTTCTTGACAGTTCTAGATTAACAGAATCAAAAGTTTAACCAGTGAAGCTAGTTATATTTCAATTTTCATTATGAAACTAAACAGGCACTAGTCTGCTCAACCTCTTTTAAGCCTTTGCTTAGTGTGGCCTGAGGATAAAGCTAAATATCAAATCAGCAATAAATACACTTAAGATTCACATGCAAAAATTTGCAATAATTTTTGAGTTCAGATCAAGAATTAATTAACTATCAAATTTATCCATAATTCGCATCTAAGCAGTACCACTTGTGGCATCAGCCCCCTAATTAATTGGCTAATAAATCAAAATGTATCACAGCCTCAAACAATCACCTATTCCTAGACCATTTATGAGCAGTGGGTGCATTACCAAAATTTTGACACCTCAAAAAATTGTATCGAGGTCAAGTTTTGTGGCGAAACATCCAAGGGGATAGTCAAGTCAGGACAATAAATCTAAACTCCTTGTGGGTTGCTCTGTGCAATATGCAGCTCGTGCAAAACTAATTAAATCCTTGTTTTATTTTTGTGAAGTGAAAGAATCCAAAGCAGCACTTAGTTGTACTTTTTGACAACCGAAAATCTCCTATGGAACTTGCCAATTTCTTGATTTTCTGGTTTTCTCTACTGTATATAGAGTATATCTTGCAATTTGAAATATAAATATGATAAATGAACCTATTTAATATTGATTTGTGTTGGCATAAAAAACCTTGGGATTTTCTTGTCAAATTATTAACACTTCTTCACACACAAATACACATGCTTCACATAGAGAGTGATTTAGAGGCTCAAAAAATAAGTAATAACCATAAAAGACACTGAGCAGTTGGAGAATACCTTAAAATATTGGAGATATTGAAGGTCAGAGTTGAAACAATTTTAAGATCTGCCATTTGATCAAACTCTTCAATATGAACATTCTCAGTTTTAAGGAAAAATTTAAACGATAGAGAACAAACATGGACAGACTCTCTCTACATTTGACTTCACCACTTCTCAGCATTGCCCATATAGATGGTAGAACTCTAGCACCATAGATTACCATCAATTTCAAGAAATAGGAAGTATTAGCGATCAATAAAGGATTTGTTCATGAGATCGACTGCTGAATCCATGAACTGCCACCACAGGAACAAGTAGCCAATCAGTTAGGAGACAATGCTAACGTTGATGCAGTTACGCATTTCAACACAAAATAGATTAAGAAGACACTTCATAATAAATGGTTGACACGAGTTGAGGAAAAATCAGCTCCATTAATATGAGAATAGAAGTAGCGGCCCAGGGGATGCATCTAGAGAGTTAATATGACAGCAAGGAATCCC